CACATCTCAGGAGGGATTTTGTCCCACTCCTCTTTGCAGATCTTCTCCAAGTCATTAAGGTTTCGGGGCTGACGTTTGGCAACTCGAACCTTCAGCTCCCTCCACAGATTTTCTATGGGATTAAGGTCTGGAGACTGGCTAGGCCACTCCAGGACCTTAATGTGCTTCTTCTTGAGCCACTCCTTTGTTGCCTTGGCCGTGTGTTTGGGTCATTGTCATGCTGGAATACCCATCCACGACCCATTTTCAATGCCCTGGCTGAGGGAAGGAGGTTCTCACCCAAGATTTGACGGTACATGGCCCCGTCCATCGTCCCTTTGATGCTGTGAAGTTGTCCTGTCTCCTTGGCAGAAACCCCCCCCCCCCCAAAGCATAATGTTTCCACCTCCATGTTTGACGGTGGGGATGGTGTTCTTGGGGTCATAGGCAGCATTCCTCCGCTTCCAAACACGGCGAGTTGAGTTGATGCCAAAGAGCTCGATTTTGGTCTCATCTGACCACAACACTTTCACCCAGTTCTCCTCTGAATCATTCAGATGTTCATTGGCAAAATTCAGATCAAATCAAATCAAATCAAAATTTATTGGCCACATGCGCCGAATACAACAGGTGCAGATATTACACTGATTCTAAGGAACAGCGCCGGAGAAGATGGCTGCCGTTTTACAGCCCTCTAACCAATTGTACTATTATGTGTGTTTTTCCGCGTTATTTGTAATTTATTTTGTACATAATGTTTCTGCCATCGTCTCTTATAACCAAAAAGAGCTTCTGGATATCAGGACAGCGATTACTCACCTCGTATTGGACGAAGATTTTTTCTTCAACGAGGCGGCCGCGAAGGATATCATACAGACACCCGAAAAGGCCCAAATCCCCGTCATTCGCGTGAGGAAGAGACGGAGATATCGTGGACGTAGATCGGGGTGCCTTGTAAGGATCCGACGGCGAGCGAGTAAACTGCCTCTTCCATCAATCCTATTAGCCAACGTTCAATCATTTGAAAATAAATTGGATGACTTAAGATTACGGTTATCCTACCAACGGGACATTAAAAACTGTAATATCTTATGTTTCACCGAGTCGTGGCTGAACGACGACATGGATATCATACAGCTAGCGTGCTATACGCTACATCGGCAGGATAGAACGGCTGACTCCGGTAAGACAAGGGGTGGCGGTCTGTGTATATTTGTAAACAACAGCTGGTGCACAAAATCAAATACTAAGGAAGTCTCAAGGTTTTGCTCGCCTGAGGTAGAGTATCTTATGATAAGCTGTAGAACACACTATTTACCAAGAGAGTTTTCATCTATATTTTTCATAGCTGTCTATTTACCACCACAAACCAATGCTGGCATTAAGATTGCACTGAATGAGTTGTACAAGGCCATAAATCAACAGGAAAACGCTCATCCAGATGCAGCGCTCCTAGTGGCCGGGGACTTTAATGCAGGGAAACTAAAATCGATTCTACCTAATTTCTACCAGCATGTTAAATGTGCAACCAGAGGAAAAAAAACTATAGACCACCTTTACTCCACACACAGAGACGTATACAAAGCTCTCCCTCGCCCTCCATTTGGCAAATCTGACCATAACTCTATCCTCCTGATTCCCGCTTATAAGCAAAAACTAAAGCAGGAAGCACCAGTGACTTGGTTAATGAAAAAGTGGTCAGATGACGCAGATGCTAAGCTACAGGACTGTTTTGCTAGCACAGACTGGAACATGTTCCGGGATTCTTCAGACAGCATTGAGGAGTACACCACATCAGTCACTGGCTTCAACAATAAGTGCATCGATGATGTCGTCCCCACAGTGACCGTACGTACATACCCCAACCAGAAGCCATGGATTACAGGAAACATCCGCACTGAGCTAAAGGGTAGAGCTGCCGCTTTCAAGGAACGGGACTCTAACCCGGACGCTTATAAGAAATCCCGCTATGACCTCCGACGAACCATCAAACAGGCAAAGAGTCAATACAGGACTAAGATTGAATCGTACTACACTGGCTCTGACGCTCGTCGGATGTGGCAGGGCTTGAAAACTATTACAGACTACAAAGGGAAGCACAGCCGCGAGCTGCCCAGTGACACAAGCCTACCAGACAAGCTAAACCACTTCTATGCTCGCTTCGAGGCAAGCAACACTGAAGCATGCAAGAGAGCACCAGCTGTTCTGGATGACTATGTGATCACGCTCTCCGTAGCCGATGTGAGTAAGACTTTTAAGCAGGTCAACATTCACAAGGATTACCAGGACGTGTACTCCGAGCATGTGCTGACCAACTGGCAAGTGTCTTCACTGACATTTTCAACATGTCCCTGACTGAGTCTGTAATACCAACATGTTTCAAGCAGACCACCATAGTCCCCGTGCCCAAGGACTCTAAGATAACCTGCCTAAATGACTACCGACCCGTAGCACTGACGTCTGTAGCCATGAAGTGCTTTGAAAGGCTGGTCATGGCTCACATCAACACCATTATCCCAGAAACCCTAGACCCACTCCAATTTGCATACCGCCCCAACAGATCCACAGATGATGCAATCTCTATTGCACTCCACACTGCCCTTTCCCACCTGGACAAGAGGAACACCTACGTGAGAATGCTATTCATTGACTACAGCTCAGCATTCAACACCATAGTGCCCTCTAAGCTCATCACTAAGCTAAGGATCATGGGACTAAACACCTCCCTCTGCAACTGGATCCTGGACTTCCTGACGGGCCGCCCCCAGGTGGTAAGGGTAGGTAACAACACATCTGCCACACTGATCCTCAACACGGGGGCCCCTCAGGGGTGCGTGCTCAGTCCCCTCCTGTACTCTCTGTTCACCCATGACTGCATGGCCAGGCACGACTCCAACACCATCATTAAGTTTGCCGACGACACAACAGTGTTAGGCCTGATCACAGACAACGATGAGACAGCCTATAGGGAGGAGGTCAGAGACCTGGCCGTGTGGTGCCAGCACAACAACCTCTCCCTCAACGTGACCAAGACAAAGGAGATGATTGTGGACTACAGGAAATAAAAGAGGACTGAGCACGCCCCCATTCTCATCGACAGGGCTGTAGTGGAACAGGTTGTGAGCTTCAAGTTCCTTGGTGTCCACATCACCAACGAACTATCATGGTCCAAACACACCAAGACAGTCGTGAAGAGGGCACGACAAAGCCTATTCCCCCTCAGGAGACTGAAAAGATTTGGCATGGGTCCTCAGATCCTCAAAAAATTCTACAGCTGCACCATCGAGAGCATCCTGACTGGTTGCATCACCGCCTGGTATGGCAACTGCTTGGCCTCCGACCGCAAGGCACTACAGAGGGTAGTGTGTACGGCCCAGTACATCACTGGGGCCAAGCTTCCTGCCATCCAGGACCTCTATACCAGGCGGTGTCAGAGGAAGGCCCTCAAAATTGTCAAAGACTCCAGCAACCCTAGTCATAGACTGTTCTCTCTGCTACCGCACGGCAAGCGGTACCGGAGTGCCAAGTCTAGGTCCAAAAGACTTCTCAACAGCTTCTACCCTAAAGCCATAAGACTCCTGAACAGCTAATCATGGCTACCCGGACTATTTGCACTGCCCCCCCACCCCATCCTTTTTACGCTGCTGCTACTCTGTTAATTATTTATGCATAGTCACACAACTGATATAAGGCTGATAGAGGTGATTGTCATGTCATAAGTTAATGTCAGAAAGAAAGAAAGAAAGAAAGAAAGAAAGAAAGAAAGAAAGAAAGAAAGAAAGAAAGAAAGAAAGAAAGAAAGAAAGAAAGAAAGAAAGAAAGAAACAAACAAACAAACAAACAAACAAACAAACAAACAAACAAACAAACAAAAAAACTAACAAACAGAGAGAAACCACTTTCTGCTTAAATAAATACAGTACTTACATGATTTCAGTAGTGTCGTAGTAATGTGTCTTTTCAATGATTTCAAAGTCAACAATCTGCGTTTTTATGGATTTTTTTGTTGTTATTCTGTCTCTCACTGTTCAAATAAACCTACCATTAAAATTAGACTGATCATTTCTTTGTCAGTGGGCAAACGTACAAAATCAGCAGGGGGTCAAATACTTTTTCCCTCACTGTATGTATGTATGCACTCACTAAACTGTAAGTTGCTCTGGATAAGAGCGTCTGCTAAATGACTAAAATGTAAATGTGGTTTTTAGTCCCGTGTAGCTCAGTTGGTTGAGCATGGCGCTCGCAACGCCAGGGTTGTGGGTTCGATTCCCATGGGGGACCAGTGTGAAAAAATGTATGCACTCACTAACTGTAAGTTGCTCTGGATAAGAGCGTCTGCTAAAATCTAATTCTCACCAGACACATCCTGGGTGTTAGGCCCAGTCATTATTCATCACCATGATAACCGTTCACTTCTGGTAAAACAGGTGTCGGTCTACAGACATGTTCTAGTGTTGATTAGTATGACATGGTAGATTTAGGTTGGGGGTTCACAGAATAGAGATGACTGGTCATTGCGTCATCATGATGTTGCTGTTGCTACTTGCCCCAAACAGCATATCTGATCTGGGCATGTAGGTGGAGAAGGGAAAAACATCAACATTATAAGCAGTTTATACACTTTTGTTATTTCTATCCAAGAAAGTTTGGGGTGAAATTTGTCTTAATACGAGACCCTCTTCCGAAGTACCCCCAGATCTGTGATGTCATAAAGAGCAGTTTTCAGAAGGAGGAAGTAATCGGAAGGAGACTTCGGATCTGTCCAACTAATGAAGACGAGACAGCCTAATCTACATTATTTAAAATAACAGGTTTGCAGACAGCTCTGCCTGCAAATAGGCCACTTCAACATTAATCACCGTGACTTGCAACGCTGACTCACCCTGGCATTCCCTCAATCACAGTTAGGAAGTTAGGAGTTAAGACTCCCGCGGCTGCCCCTGCACATGCAGATGCCCAGCTTCCCTCCGCCCCTTCCACCCTCCCCTCTGTAGTACAACATTCCTTCATTTCTCCCTAGTGAGCTGGGAAATTCCAGGGAGAGGTCTGCTGTTTCTTGAACGTTTGCCGGGAAAGAACATGGGATGCCGGCAGCTTATAAAAAGGACAATGGATCCCACTAGTTCTTCACTTTTCACTTTCACTTCAAGTGGATCTTACTGTCTCTTGACTCCTCACCTCCCAATCTTCTCACCTCGCTACTTATATTCACGATGGCCTTCGCACCAAAAGCCTGCAGTCTTTTCCTGGTGGTTTTGCTGGGAGTTTGTATTCAGCTCTACGGAGGTAAGATTTCAAAGTAATTTCTAGCAATGTCAGCTACAATATATGGAATGTACAGTGCAGTATGCATGCTTTACTAGTTACCTGACTGACTAGGGATTTTGCAGTGACTATGCTACTGTATATATAGTGGCTGTCATATAGCGTCAAATGAGTATAGACTAGTATAGATATTGCAGTTATGTACAGTTTATTCTCAGAACAAGCATTGTGCAAAAATGCATTCATGTGAATGTTTATCCAAAATCCAATTTTAAAAACAACTTTTCCATCAAAATGTTTGACCATGTAAATTGATGTTTATAACTCTCATTACAGCTCAATACGTTCCAGGTGCCAGGTGCAAATGCCCAGGAACCATCATGAACACTCCGGAAACTATTGTTGACTTTGAAATAATTGAAAAGACACATTACTGCGACACTACTGAAATCATGTAAGTACTGTATTTATTTAAGCAGAAAGTGGTTTCTCTCTGTTTGTTTGTTTGTTTGTTTGTTTGTTTGTTTGTTTGTTTGTTTGTTTGTTTGTTTGTTTGTTTGTTTCTTTCTTTCTTTCTTTCTTTCTTTCTTTCTTTCTTTCTTTCTTTCTTTCTTTCTTTCTTTCTTTCTTTCTGACATTAACTTATGACATGACAATCACCTCTATCAGCCTTATATCAGTTGTGTGACACAAGCATTAATTGTGTGTATATGTGGTTTGTCCATTTCAGTGTTACACTGGCGGAAGATGGAGCCAGACGGTGCCTGAACCCTGTTGGAAGAAAGGCCATGTTTTTCGTCAACTGCTGGAACACGTAAGATAGATCAAATCATTATACTCATCACCACCATAATAAAGTATTGGTAGAACTATACTGCAGTTATTAATGTTATAATTATAGATCCACATATCACATTAATGACATATAGTCTAATGTAAAACGAAAAGCCGTAATCTGATTTAGTGTACACACCATAATAGCAGACATAGAAGCAATGTAACGCAAACAACCTAGCAAGTACTTTAGAAACACTAAGCATGATTAATATAATGCAGAACATATCTTGTGAACAAACTCTCTCGCTACTTTTCCAAAGTAGAATAGAACAAGGACGACAAGCAAAAGCTGAGGTGTCTGAAGAAAAAGCAGAGTGAACATAATGGAGGAGGGAAGAAGGGCCATGGAAACTACGGCTGGATTTTCCAGAAGTATTGACCAAACTAAGAGAAGAATGTTGGGACTGAAGCATTAGAGAGAAGAGAGGAGAGGGGAGAGAGAGAGAGAGAGAGAGAGAGAGAGAGAGAGAGAGAGAGGGAGGGAGAGAGAGGAGAGAGAGAGAGAGAGGAGAGGAAGAGAGAGGGGAGAGAGAGAGAGAGGAGGAGAGAGAGAGAGCGAAGAGGAGCTTTCTATTTCATGAGTTTCCTTTTTGATTTTGTGTCCAAACTGTTACAGTACTACAAGAATACAACATTAATTGTGAGACATTTACAGATATCATATGTAAAACTCTTTATTTATTTTTCAATTTATTATTTAAATAAGTGTATATTTAATGAACAGATAAATATGATTTTGATACAACTGAAATCTGAAGTAAACATGTTTTTGAAACAACTTAAAGATTCAACGTTCTCTTCATCATAACACTCCATTTGTTATGAATGCTTATACCAAGTCTTATAATGCAAAATGGGGTGACACAAGCATTATTACTGTCACAATTAATGCATAGGGCTTAATACTCATGGTTTATAGAGAGTGCCACGGGAACAGCTCCTTTAACATTTGGTTACAGAGTGTGATACACTCTGGAGGGAGAGAGGGTCCCATGTATGGCATCACTGAAATAAGGCCAATGATCATAACTTAAACACAGCTGGTCTCAACAAATGCAGGGGTTGGCTGAGAGACTTCCAGGTCAGGAACAAGATGTAGTGACGCCATGGCGACCTGGGGTGAACCTCGACGCACATGACGTTTCTCAACTACTGGAATACATGCAATGAACACACTAGGGTTAGATATATTACAGTCACTTGTAATAATCCTATATAAACTGATTTATTAACGCAAAATAAATGATTTGCAGCCATTACAATACTGTCAATGTGCACCATCTACTGGAGGTCCTTAGTACCTAAACCCAGATAATCATTGACTTGTGTAATTACAGTGTTACCACACAAACATAAAGCAACTTCATGTAAAGGTATAAAATCAACTTAATGTAAACGTATAAGATCAACTGAATGTAAAGGTATAAGATCAACTTAATGTAAAGGTATAAGAGAAACTTAATGTAAAGGTATAAGATCAACTGAATGTAAAGGTATAAGATCAACTTAATGTAAAGGTATAAGAGAAACTTAATGTAAAAGTATAAGAGAAACTTAATGTAAAGTTTGACCTAATAGTCAACTCCACAGGTATAAGAGCAACTTAATGTCAAGTGTTACCAAGTAGTCAATGATAAAACTAGAAAATTATTTAGATGCCAATATTTACCTTCTAAATAAATCAAGATAACGTAGCTTTCTAAATGCGTCATTGAAAACAACAAAAGGCTCTAGGATAGGTCTTGAATATAGACATGTTTCTGTAACACTTACTGGTATACTGATTTGCTGCAGCGGCCGAGTTTCTTCCCTTTTAGAAACACCATGGATACATCCCAAATGGCACCCTATTCCCTATATGGTGCACTACTTTTGACCAGAGTGCCAGTTGGGACAGACATCCATGTTTCTCCAGCATGATGAGCTCTAAGGCAGCATGTCTTGCGTTTTGACCATTACTTTGCTGTGGAGATAAACTTTGCTGGAGGATATCAGAACTGGCCTTCTCACTCGGGGGAAATCAAAGGGCTGCTGGTGGTCAGAGGGAGCCAAGGAGTGTGGGAGAGAATAGATCCTCCATAAACTTTCTCATTCCCAGACCAGAGTCCTGAGGCTGCTGCACTTCCTTTTGTGTGAGCGCACACGCACACACACACACACACACACACACACACACACACACACACACACACACACACACACACACACACACACACACACACACACACACACACACACACACACACACACACACACACACACACTCTATAATAGAATCTGCCGCATGAGCTCACAAACCAAAAACAAAGCCTAGAAACATAGCAGATGAAGGGGTGCTTAGTCATATCTGCCTGTGGCGTACCCTGCAGTATATACAGTATCTCCCTGAATTAAATCATCTGTTGAGACAGATATGGACAATATCTCAGTGAAGTTGTTGGGAGAAGACGAGGCTAATGTTACATTACTATGGCTACATCCCAAATGGCACCCTATTCCCTATTTAGTGCACTAGTTTTGACCAGGGCCTATTAGGCTCTTGTCAAAAGTAAGCACTATGTAGGGAATAGGGTGCCATTTGGGATGCTACCTATATGAACTGTTGTCAGCATACTATTTGGAACACAAGATGGAAATGGACGTTTACTAAAATGATCATTGATTGATCATTGATCATCCCCACCTGAGGACCGTTCAACATGGTTAGGTAAGTGTGTGTGTGTCCCATATCCTCGGTGCTGAGTGGAAAACACTGTACTTGATGTTAGAAAGGCATCCAATCTGGTTGCATGCTGTTTCATTTGTTGCCTGTTGTTCCTCTCTCTAGCTGTCAAAACAGCAGAACCTCAGCATAAGAGAACCTTTCCTTAAGAAACTAAATCAACAAATACATCATCAATTAATCATCTGCATGTTATCAACAAAGCAGTTGGATTTTTAATGGGTGACGTTTCATGTTTCAGCAAAATTGCTACTAATAATTTGTCTGGCACTTTTGCAGAAGCCTCCCACCGATGCGTGTGTTTAATTTTTAAACATTCTGCGGCAAAGGCACAAATCCTGAGAGAAATATTTTGCATTTTATTTCCATGATATGTGTTGTTCCCGCCTGCTATAAAGCTTATATATAGCTTTTTTAAAAGGACTGGGCTGTCTCCCACAGTGTAATACTCTCTCGTTAAGAAGAACAGCAGCAGCTGTTAAAATCAGAGATGTGTGAGAGCTGCCACTGCCTGGCTTCTGTTGGAATCCAAGAAACCCATGCTGTTCGTCAGATGTAGGAGAGAAAAAACTTTTTCAAAAAACAAAAATGGCAACCCAATATTTTATTTATACATGTGAACCATGCCCAATCGCTTGTTGATGTAGCTGTCAGACAAAGGGAAGAGTGTAAATTGCCCCTATCCCCATGCAATATTCCTACAGCTACTGCTATAACAAGGCTTTCATACGCTCTCATTGTTGCTCTACCGGCCGCGAAGAGAGTGGGCATCAATTATATGAAAATAGTCAAGAGGGAATGCTGTGTAGAACGGAACGGCACACGAACAAATAAACAACTGTGCCAAACGACTGTAGAAAAGCCCTGCTTTGGCTATGTTGGCTATGGGTCTCTTCAAAGAGTGTGTGTGTGTGTGTCTGTGTGTGTGTGTATGGATACACTGTGAACATCCATATGTGTGTGCACTGGCAAGTGCGTGTGTGTGTGTGTGGATACATTGTATACATCCATGTGTGTGTGTGTGTTTTATGCGTCACCATGGGTATATGACTGTCTTGTCAATCACCCAGCTTCAACCCATAAATAAAGAATGACACATGCACCCAGCTGCTCTCTCTCATTGTCTAGTGGGCCTGACTGCCTACCCAAGTCCCACTGCTCCCCAGATGCAGAGATGCAGACCACATGTCATTTTAAGTGTAGAGAGAGGTTTCTATACAGGCAGTCAGGGAGAGAGGACACATCACAGAGTAACTTGCATAAAAAGAACAGGAGACCCACCAGGAGGTAACGTGGAAGGCAGCACACACCACAGGGAAACTCCATCTTAAATAAATCAAGCTGTTGTCCCATCAATCCAAACACTGAACTCTATGTGAAATCTAGATTAATCGAGGTGAATGATGTGCACATGGCATGGTATGAAATGTCACCTGATACTTCGCCTTTGTTAGGCTTGAATAGGTGATTTGAGGAAAATACGTCAATACATGACTTTTCTCTAGCTGGTTTGGACAGAAATTAATTTGAACTATTGTTTTATTCATCGTGGTAATGGATCTTGGTAATGGATTGTGGTTATGGATCTTTGATTGAGATATTACACAATAATAGCTCAATCAAATAAATGGGATTTTCTTCCACCTGCTAACATTGAAGTCCACAGCAAATGGTAGGGTCATTTGCAGGGGAGAGGGAGAGACAAGCACACGGAAAACAGAAATACAAAGCCTGTATGGGGGGACACTGGTTCAGGTCTCTGACTACTGAACTCCTCTGTCTGTCAAGTGTTGAGATGCAATGTCAGGAGCTTATACACACACAAACATGGACACACACACACACACACCTCTCTTACAGAGGGTAAGGCCGCTTGCAAATTTGCATGTGCTGCTCACTGACAAGATTACAGGAGGCTGAGAATGGAGTGTGATGTGATCTCACCACACAATACTGTAGTATATTCACACTTTGTTTGTATGTTAATCTTCTTCATATGGCCATAGAGCTGGGGTTGCACTGTGCCATCTAATTATCACAAAGTCACTGGAACATGCAGCCGAGAGACACTCTGCAAGGAATGAGACAAACATCATATTGAAATGTATTCAGGCCCATAGCTCCAACGGTAGTTGTAATAGGTAAATCCACATTTCCATGAGACACAGCAGTTAGAATCAATCAGGCAAGTTTAATTCCCATGTCACAACAAGGGAACAAGCAATCAGCTGAAAAGAGCTCCAACCTCCACCAATACCTTAAAAGGAACACAGACGTTGCTTAGTCTGTTTTGCTTGTTTCTTGGAAATAAAGTAGATGGTTGTAGTTACAAATATAAGCCTACAGGGGGCAGCATATACACTCTGTTGTACTAGTCCCCCTTATCAGCATGCTGGAACAATCTTCTGTACCCAACTGACTCCTGTTGTGCCTACTGTTAAGGAGGAGACAGGTCTTACAACAGTATTGAATTCATTAACCTTTTCTCCACTCTGGTCCAAAATGGGAGCAGGACCGCAATTGTTGGAAATAACCCCCTCAGCACTTTAAACAGTTTATTGTAAGGGTCACGGATGGAAGAAGAGGGGCTGAAGAGGGGGCTCGCCCCTATTAGTTACTTATCCGAAAAGTGTCATCTTGCATCAGGCGGTT